ATGTTATGCCCGATGTCCAAATCCCTGAGCGGGAAGAGAGAAGGCTTCCAAGACAATGCAACTCGCATAAAAGGGAAGTTTATTGCTGACTCGAGACAGGGCTCCTGCCACGTGTCCAACGCAGCGGTGTGGGGTCAGAGAGCGCTGAGCCCAAGCTGTTACCCAATTTATAAGGTGTGCATAAGCAGTTGGCAGCTGGCTTAAGCAGATTGGTTACATGTTTGCAAAGTAATCTTATTGGCCCAAACCTTCGTGGGCTTTTTTCAAACTTGGGCATTCGCGGGCTTTTCAGCTTTCCCCTGATAGGTTCCCTTTTTCTTAATAGGTGCATGTTGATTGGCTGGCTCCAGGTGGCCTGATAATCATGTTACCTTGAAAAACCAGGCCTACTCCTAATCTAGGCTGCCTGTCATGGCGCAGCCTCACAAGTGCATTTTGAGTTTTTACTTCTTCAGTTCAGGTCAGTCACTCAGACGTGTCCGACTGTTTGCGACCCCATGGACTGCAGCACGCCAGACTTCCGTGACCATCACCATCTCCTAGAGCTTGCTAAAACTCATGTCCACCAAGTCGGTGATGCCATCCAATCACCTCATCCTCTGTCGTCCCAGTCTCCTCCTGCCTTCAGTCCTTCCCAGCATCAGGGTCTTCTTCCAGTGAGTCAGTTCTTCACATCAGGTGGCCAAAGTATTGGAGCTTCAGCTTCAGCATCAGTCCTTGGAGTGAATATTCAGGACTGATTTCCTTTAGGATGGACTGGTTGGATCGCCTTGCAGTCCAAGAGACTCTCGAGAGTCTTCTCCAACACCACAGTTCAAAAGCATTAATTCTTCGGCACCCAGCTTTCTTTATGGTCCAACTCTCACATCTGTACATGACTACTTTAAAAACCAAAGCTTTAATTAGATGTATCTTTGTTGTCAAAGTAATGTCTTGGCTTTTAAATATGATGTCTAGGTTGGTCATAGCTTTTCTTCCAAGGAGCAAGCATCTTTTAATTTCATGGCTGCAGTCACCATCTGCAGTGGTTTTGGAGCCCAAGAAAATGAAGGCTCTCAGTGTTTCCAATGTTTACCCATCTATTTGCCTTTTGGCATTGCCTTTCTTTGGGATTAGAATGAAAACTGACCTTTTCCAGTCCTGTGGCCACTGCTGAGTTTTGGTTTAGTTCAGAAAATGCTACATTTTAAAAACATTATATTCATTCAGAAACAAAAAAGTAAGTAAAAACATTATATTCGGATAAAGTAGTTGTTGAAATATGCATTTTTTATTATTTGAATTGACTCGAGGAAAAGGGAGGAATTCTGTAATTTAGTAAATCAATAATCAGACTTGCTAAGACTTTCAGCACGAGTGCATTTTGAGTTTTTACTTCTTATGAGACCTTCATAAAGACTCTGCATGATGGCAATACAGGGGAGAGGGTCCCCTCAGCTGAAGTTGATTCCTGGAAGGTCCAGGGCAGAGGTGGACGGGTGAGCCACCTTCACGGGTGGAGGACAGGGCGGCTGAGGCCAAGAAGACCTGTGTGCAGACGCGGGCAGGGTGAGCGTGGTGTCTGAGTGAGCATGGCAGGGTCTAGCGATCCCATTCACTTATTCAGTATGCAGTGAATTCCACTGATTTCCCTGCCACCCTGAAACCTTTCAGAAATGGAAAGGCCACGCCTACCGCATCCCCCCGGGTGGTACTAGAGGAGTCAGTGGCAAGACTGGCACCTGGAGGGAGGTACCAGCCCCTGCCTGACCTGAGTGCTCGGCCTGGAGTTGCGCAGCGAGCAGCCTGTGCAGCCGGGGCTTCAGCTCCCGGCCCAAGAGAGCCAAGAAGCTGTCCAGGGGGTTGAGGGCAGGAGTAGTGACTGGGTGACAAGCTTTATCGTGGTCACCAAGGTGCTGTGCTGGGAGTTGCCTGGGGGAGATAAGACAGGACTGGGGAGCCCGCTGGGAAGTCATGTCAGGGTCCAGCAGGACAGTCACAGAGGTCGTGTCCACCTTTCTGCACCCCAGCCGCCCTCGTTTCCCTCCTGGCCGCTTCACAGACACACCGAACACATTCCTGCCCCAGGGCCCTTGCATCTGCGGCCCCTGCCAGGGAGCTACTCCAGGCGCACCCCTGACCTGCTTCCTCTATGCCTTCACGTCCTTGCTGGGACGTTGTCTTCCAGTGAGGCTTGCCGGGCAGCGTCCATCTTAGCCTCCCTCATGCTCCGTTTCCCCTTTCTGCTTCAGGGCTTCCTCCCTGGCGTGTGCCACCCTGCTGTCCCTTGTTCGTTTGGGTGTACAGTCTGCGTCTCCCCCCTTGCGACAGGTCAGGTTCTGGGCCTGCAACAGCCGGCTCCCAGGCCGTGTGGGGCCGCGTGAATGGATGAGCGTGCGGAGCACCTTGTGAGCCCCTGACCCCTGACTGCTCACACTCAGGGAAAGAGGGGCCCCTTGATCGGAGGGAGGGGGGCCAGGGCCTTTGAGACACAGTGACGTCCTGTCAGGAGAGCAGTGCCTGAAAGAACCCGGCGAGACCAGGGGGGAGGTGGGAACGTGGGCTGGGGTGAGATGGGAAGGGCATGTGTATGGATTAGAGCGTAAGACGAGAACCTTAGTGAAGTGAGGATTTCCAAAGGGAGCCTTAGTACATATTTGCTCAGCTGTTAAATGCTGAGTTAAAAAATCTTATCTTAAGAGTTCGTGTTGACCTGTGCTGTACAAACAGTGGAGTACGGTGGCGGGTTACAGTGTTCTTTCATGACTTCAAAGATGGTATTAGTTAAGGAGGGCATTAGAAATGCTTTCTCTGAGCTGTGGTTTCTGCTGAGCGCTCTCTCTACACATGTCTTGTGGTGTCTGCCTTAGGAGGCTGTTTCCTTCCTGTAAGTGAGGGGCTTAAATTACAGTATTAAAGCTTTACTATTTGTGATATCGTATTGAAAGACTTCCCTTAGAAGAATATCTGCTTACTTTTCTGTGTGGAAATTGATTAAGAATCCTGTGAGGCTAAATGTTCCTATTTCTAAGGGGCATTAAGATAAGCACTGTTGCTTCCCTTGAAATGAGATGGAGAGAATCCATGTGTTGGTAATTTCACTTATTTCTCTATTTTTGTTTTTTTCCACCACTCTGACAGTGGGACGAGCATAGGTGATAATAGACCAAAGCCAACAGTGCCTGTTAGCTAAATTTAAACTCTCAGGATAATTCTGAAGAGCCACTTGGGTTGAAAATCATAGGTTCATGTGACATTCTGATGCTGGTAAAACTCTAGTTAGCTAACAGTCTTATTTCCAGAAAGCCAGCCAGTTACCGCTGGAGAAGGTAGCTGAGAACATGGCCAGCGGAGCACGCCCTCTCCTTTGCCTATGTCATAGTTATGAAGACTTTAAGGAAATATTTTCTTCTAGAGCTTCTGTATGTTTTAGCCCTTAAATCTATGACCCCTGTTGAATTCAGTTGTGTGTGTGAAGTAAGGTAGTTAGTAAATGTTCATTTCCCCTCCATGGATATTAATTATTCACCATCATTTGTTGAAAAAGACCATTCTTTTCCTATCGAGACATCTTGGCAACTTTGTCTAAAATCATTTAACCATGTATACACAGCACTGTTTTATGTAAATGAATGAATGAATCTTACATGTTATGCCTTTGCAAGTGACTGAAGATCTTGCAATGCTTCTGAAATATCATAATGAACATTCATTTTGTATACTCTCATGAATTAATTTGTAAATTAAAAAATCCATTACAGAGATATGACTGGTAATTGCAGTAACTGGCCCATGACTGTATCCTGGACTGGAGTTAAAAATGCTAGAAAGTATTAATGGAACAGGTGACAGAATTGCAGTCACAGTAATAGGTTAAAGTTATATTAGTGTAAATTTATGAGATTAAGAATTGTACTGTGAGGCTTATTCTACAAGCCAATGCCCCAAATAACCAAGAATGCTTTTAAACTGTGGTTCTTCATAGCTCACAGGTAGGCAGTGTGTGTGAAGGTGTTAGCAGGAGTCTCTTCGAGAAGACGGAGGCCGTGGTGCTCTGTGACGCCCTGGCGGGGTGGGATGGGGAGGGAAGCTCAGGAGGAGGGGGTGTGTATATACTCATGGCGGATTCACAGTGTCATACAGTGGCAGCCAGCACAACACTGCAGGGCAATTATCTTCCAATTAAAAATTTAAAAAAACAGATGGCGATCAGAAGACCCTTGTTTCACTCTGTTAAGGTTGCCGTCCGACCCGTCCTGGGCTTGGTCCTGGCGCTCTCAGCTCCTGGCCGTGTTGAGGGGGGCGGCAGTGATGAGGGGTGACCCCTGGGTGCAGTGTTGGTGGGTGGCCCCCTGACTCTTGACAGGAACCAAGCCCCCTCCTGTTGTTTCTGAGTGATTTTGCCACAGATGACCAGGTGTGGCAGTGGTCACTGGTGACACTGATGTCGGGGCAGGATGTTGTCAGAAAGATGCAGATTTGCGATTTGTCAAGAGAAGCCAGAGGCCTGTGGGGAGGGGGTGGGTAGATAATGCCCCCTTGAGAAGTGGAACAGGCAGCATGATTTTACTTGGTTATGGTGGAGGAAAAGCACCAAGAGAGAATTTGTGACGCAGGAGAAAAACTCAGTTTATGCTTTAAAAAAAAAATTCATGTATTTATTTGGCTACAACGGGTCTTAGTTGCAACATGCGGGGTCTTTGTTGCAAGCCTGTGGGGTCTTTGGCCCTGGCCCACTGACTTGGTAGTTGTGGCACGGACTTAGTTGCCCCAAGGCATGCGGGCTCTTCTTTCCCCCACCAGGGATTGAACCTGTGTCCCTTCCATTGCAAGGTGGATTCTTAACCACTGGACCACCAGGGAAGCCCGATTTATACTTCTTCCTTGATAGTGCTAACTTTGCCTCAGTGATTAGCTTCTCATGTAGGTTGACGTGTGTCACTCAGACAACTGAAGGGTGGGTGGGGAGTGTGTTGCGGGCAGGTGATTTCATGCGAGGAAACCTGTTTTGTGTCTTTTAGAATGTCGTTCTTTCGGGAGGCTCCACGATGTTCAGGGATTTCGGACGTCGCCTGCAGAGAGACTTAAAGAGGGTGGTGGACGCCAGGCTGAAGCTTAGCGAGGAGCTCAGCGGTGGCAGGATAAAGGTGAGGCCTCTGGGTGGCCGGGTGGGGCTGGACATCCCACTGGTCTGGGCCGTAAGGGGTAAACATGAGCTGGAGCCACTTTCTTAGCCTCACTGTGAAGTTACAGTCAGAGGTCTGTTGCCTGGACTCCCTCCAGGTGTGCAGTTAGGACAGGTGTGGACCTCCCGATGCAGCAACGCAACTCTCCCCAGCCCGCCCCCCCAACCCCCTACGCCTGCCAGCAGTTTCTTCCCTATTGTCAGAGATCAGGCGTGTCCTGTAATGACCAGTACCCCAAGGAGGTGGATCACTTTTCAGTGAGGAACTCTAATGTCCTTTGGAACGTTCTGATTAAGCTCTCATCACTGGTATGAGCAGGGCAGTCCACTGTTGTCCTTAAGATTCTAACCTTTAACCAGCTGGTGGATTTACAGGGTTGGGTTGGTGTGGGGCCCATGGGAGCAAAACCACATGTTCTCCCCTCCTGGGATCACCCCCAGGTGGTGTCATTTCTTAGAGTATTTTTGGGACACTTAAGTGTTACTTCCCTATGGCTTCCCTGATACTTCAGTTGGTAAGGAGTCCACCTGCAATGCAGAGACCTCAGTTTGATTCCTGGATCAGGAAGATCTGCTGGAGAAGGGATAGGCTACCCACTCCAGTATTCTTGGGCTTCCCTTGTGGTTCAGCTGGTAAAGAATCCACCTGCAATGTGGGAGACCTGGATTTGATCCCTGGGTTGGGAAGATCCCCTGGAGAAGGGAAAGACTACCCACTCCAGTATACTGGCCTGGAGAATTCCATGGACTCTGTAGTCCATGGGGTCGCAAAGAGTCAAACACGACTGAGTGACTTTCACTTTCACTTGGGCTTCTCGTGTAGCTCAGTTGGTAAAGAATCTGTGTGCATTGTTGGAGACCTGGGTTCCATCCCTGGATTGAGAAGATCCCCTGGAGAAGGAAATGGCAACCCACTCCAGTATTCTTGCCTGGGGAATCCCAAGGACAGAGGAGCTTGGTGGGCTACGGTCCACGGGGTCGTTAAGGGTCGGACATCAGTTAGCACTATCTTTCTTAAGTGTTACTTAGAATTATCTGTAGATGTGAAAAAAATTTGTTTAGTTTAAAAAAACAAGCTGGGCTAGTTGCATGGAGTGTCTGCATCTTAAAAATGCCTTTAAATGGAGGTGACCTGCCCTTGCCTTGTGTCCTTTGTTGTCTGTGCCACCTGGGCTGGGCTGGGGGTCGGTGGGCTTGGAAGTGGCGGGGCTGAGCACCTTCCTTTCAGGGTGGAGGCTTTGAGCCTGAAGGTGGGGCCTGCAGGGTGGGAGGAGGGTCCCAGGTGGGAAGACTTAAGGGTGCCCTCTGCACAGACAGTCAGCTCGCATCATTTCCCTTGCAGCCGAAGCCTGTGGAGGTCCAGGTGATAACGCACCACATGCAGCGCTACGCCGTGTGGTTCGGAGGCTCCATGCTGGCCTCAACTGTGAGTCCTTTCTTGGATTGTGCTGTCTTTTCATCTCTGTTTTCTGTTGAGTTTGCATTAATACTCTCTTACCGGAGATGAAATGGTGTGTGCTGTAATTGTGTGTGGCTCTAAACAGCCCCACATTTAATTCTGAGATAGAAAAAATACTTTAATGACCATTAGCGGTGCAAATTAGTGCCACTAATTCATAAATATCCTTGCAAATTAGGGGTTACAGATATTTTAGATACGTGAATCTGAAAATAACCTATAATGTCGCCGTGATCATTAATTCCAGAAATTTTTCTGAGTAATTACTGCTTTTTCTCCTCAAACTTGTGACTAGCTAACAAATTGCTAATTTTGGGCGAGCAGGCACATAGTTCTTCCTAAACAGAAGCTCAGACTGAGTGCCTGAGCATGAGGGCAAGTTTTTTAAAAAACGAAATAAAACTCCCGTCTGGCAGTTCAGGCTCACAAAGACCGCGGCCGCTGTGGGGGCGAGGGTGGCGGTTCGGGCGAGGGGCTGTCTCCTCTGCTTGGTGTCTGTCTGATGCTGTTCCCTCTCCGGCACGCGTGCGCGCTCCTCCTGCAGCCGGAGTTCTTGCAGGTCTGCCACAGCAAGAAGGACTACGAGGAGTGCGGCCCGAGCATCTGCCGCCACAACCCCGTCTTCGGGGTCATGTCTTAGTGGCGGCTTGTCCCCCCCGCCCAGGACAGAGTATGGGACTGTAAAGCCTCTTCCTCCCAGACTATTTTTGTAAATAAAATGTTATAAACTTGAAATACTAAATCGATGTTTATATTTCCTATCATTTTGTATTTTACGGTTCTTTGGTACAACTGGCTTGACTGCGAGCACGCGTAGATGTCGGTGTCATGGGGTGTTGTCATAAAGCGTTTCTAATCGTGAGGCATGTTCTGATGTGTTTGTAGGCGAGCAGAATAAATCAGAGCAAAACGTTTTGCCACGTTTGCTAGAAAACGACTACATTTGATTGAGCGTCATGAAATTTAACCACTAAGCAGTATTGTATGAGAATCATCACAGACAATGTATCTTTTCCTTTTCCTGTGTGAGCTTTCTGGAACTGTTTTATAGAAGACGCCAGTGTGCTGTTGGTGAGCGTTGGATGAAATACTACCTTGCACTATTGTAATAAAAGCACTTAGACTCTTTATAAAGATCTCCTGTGGTGCTGTGGTGGTCTTTGGGTTTTCCCCTTGGTGCCTGCGCTTCTTTCAAAGAGTATCGAAATTTGTTTCACATCAGCGGAGGCTTTGATGATAACACAAAGTTTGGGGAGGAAGTTTCCTGAAAGGGTGTGGAATGCCTGTGATGCAGGGACCACTCCATCATTCAAAGTGGTGTGTATGGTGCTGGATGAACTTGTGTGCATGTGGGGGGTGGGTGTCCTTGCTTTTCCACCATCCCTTCCCAGGAATTCAGAATGCATGGCTTTAAGACTGGAGCAACTACTCTTGACATCTGCTGAGTAGATTGCTGGCTTAAAAGATAATTTGCTAAATTAAGGGATTTAGTTTTAGCCCATTCTTCATATAATACTTATGTTCCTGTTTAAACTGTTATTTTATGGCATTTCTTCTAGGTCACGAAGTATTTTTTTTCTCTAAAGATCTGAATTCATAAAGAAGCATTTGGTTTTATTATTTAAGGTTAAGAAGACATTGGGGATAATAAAGGAATCTTTGTGCTCAGTATGGTAAAATCTGGGTTTCCTGGGCTGTAGGTGGTTCCTGTCACTTGTTCCCAATGGTCAGTGACCCCAGGCCCTTCAGCGGAGGGTCTCAGGCCACTTGGTTCTTCATTTGTCCGGACAGTTTCTCCACTTTCCCTCTGGGGTTTGCTCTGCTCAGGGTCGCAGGACTGCTGTTTGAATCTTCCAGCCACCGCTTTATCACAAGTCTGGGTGGGTGTGTCTCCTTCAGCACCCCCAGCCATGTGACAAACAGCAGACTGGCGGGATCACCTCCCCTAACACCGCTTCTGCTTCTGCTCAGAGACCATGGGGGCCTCCCCTGGCCCATCTCCGTATCAGCTGGCGTCTGCACATGTGGGCCCTTTGCCTCCCCACCCTCCCGGTCTCTGTGCTCTCGCAGTGAACATGCCATGCCTCCTCCCTCCTTCCAGGTCCCACCTTGCTTTGACTTGGCCAGGCGCCAAGTAGATTGGAGTTATTATCATTTTTTGTTTCTTCAATCAACCTGCCAGAGGCCATATGTCAAAGTGAAAGTGAAAGTCACTCAGTTGTATACAAATCTTTGTGACCCCATGGACTATATACAGTCCATGGAATTCTCCAGGTCAGAATACTGCAGTGGGTTCCTTCTCCAGGGGATCTTCCCAACCCAGGGATCACCCAGGTCTCCTGCACTGCAAGTGGATTTACCAGCTGAGCACCTGCAATGTGCATTGGTCATTCTGTAAGGAGGATAAATGCTTAGAGTTATGGTGGTAATTTTAAGAAAGTCTACAAGTACCTTTTCAGATTGAATTAGTACAAGATCATAATATCCTGAGTTAGGTATTATTGGTTGATGGGTAAAATCAGCCTTCTATGATGAAAATGCCTTGTAGCTCTCAGTGAACAGTTTTCTATAAAAAAAATTTCAATGAACTCACACTTTCACAGAACATATTCTAAAATGTCAATAATTTTTTTTAAAACAACTATTAAGCTTTTAGATAGAATAAGAAATCATGTTACCCTTTTTGACAGACGTAGACATAATCTCAACTTTATCATGATAAGCATATTATTGGGATGCTTTACTTAAAATTTGGTAACTGATGTGTGAGCATGCCCCCTCTAATCCAAACCCCTTGGTATGTAATGTGTGCTAGAGAGCTGCTGATCTAGGATGTTTAGATGTTAAATTATTTTCATTTTCATTCATAAGGCTTTGTGAATATATATTTTTTCATGTGCATTGACTGGATTGTATAAGGCAAATAAGATAAAAGAGTGATAATGGGACCATGATAAGTGTTCAGTAAATTTTAGCCTTTGTTATTCTGTTATAAAGCAAATATTGTGTCTTGAGACATCATATTGTTTTTCAGTCGCTGAGTCGTGTCTGACTGTTTTCGACCCCATGGACTGCAGCACGCCAGACTCCTCTGTCTTCCACTGTCTCCCGGGATTTGCTCAAATTCATGTCCATTGAGTCAGTGATGCTATCTAACCATCCATCCTCTGCCCCGTTCTCCTTTTGCTTCAGCCTTTCCCAGCATCAGGGTTTTTTCCATTGAGTCAGTTCTTCACATCAGGTGACAAGTATTGAAGCTTCAGCTTGAGTCCTTCCAGTCAATATTCAGAGTTGATTTCCTTTAGGATTGACTAATTTGACCTCCTTGCTGTCCAAGATACTCTCAAGAGTCTTCACAGCATCACAATTTGAAAGCATCAGTTCTTTGGCACTAAACCTTCTTTTTGGTTCACCTCTCCCATCCACACATGACTCCTGGAAAATCATAGCTTTGACTATATGGACCTTTGCAGGCAAAGTGATGTCTCTGTGTTTTGCATCATAATTGTAATAAAATTGTATTAAAAAATTTAAAAAATTGTAATTAAATTGTTTGAGTAGAGGAAAAGAAAATTTTAGGATCATGAACTAAAGGGCCTTTAGGATTTCAGTAAGAAGGTATTTTTAAAAAAGATATTACAGGACTTCCCTGGTGGTCCAATGCTTATGAATCCAGCTTGCAATGCAGGAAACACAGATTCGATCCCTGGTCGGAGAACTAAAACCCCCCATGCCTCAGACCAGCTAATAAGCCTGCTTGTCACAACTACTGAGCCACGTGCTGCAACTAAAAAGAAGCCAGCATGCAGCAACTAAGATCCAACACAACCAAATATTTTTTTAAAAGGCATTTCTTAAAAAAAAAAAAGGTATTAGTATATAGTTGTAGAATCTAAACATCATTGGGCCCTTTCTTTTAATCATGATGCTGATATAACTGAGTCACTTTCATCACCCATGTAATAAAGCTATCCTGTTCCTTCACAGCGGCTGTCTCCTCCCCTGGTTCTGTGCTGGGAGCTGTCTCTCTGTGACACTGTGAGGCTGTCCACGCTCCATAGACATGCTTCAGTTGAACACGCTGGGATTTGCAAGTTACTCTTTGGTATTATGGTGTTGTTTCGGCAGCAGATTGGTGCACGGCATCCTGGAGGGGTCAGCCCAGAAGGGGCTTCTCTCTGAGTGCCCTTGCCCTCAGCTGCAGCATCACCGGTGTGGGAAGCCTGCTCTGACCGTCCCCACCGAGTCAGTCTCTAGCTGTGCCTCTGTCCCTCACTGGACGAGGGTCCTGAAAACGGGACGGATGTTTGTGCTCCCAGGAGCCCCGCTATCCCCGGCACATGGTGGGTGCCCAGTAAATATTGAATGAAGTTTCTTTTCAAGTGAAGATTCCATCCCTTTTTCCAGGCTGGGTGTGAGAAGCATGGTGTGTTGGGGTAACCTTAGATGAAAGCTGGGTTTTGGAGGTGTGGGATGTGAACCATTGTTATTTTAAGATTTTTTAACAATATAAAATTTAGCTTGTGGATGGATAAAGAAGATGTGGTACATATACAATGAAATATTTACTGAGCCATAAAAAAGAATGAAGTATTGCTATTTGCAGCAATATGGATGAACCTAGAGACTGTCATACTCAGTGAAGTAAGACAGAGGCAAATACTCTGTGATATCATTTACATGTGGAATCTAAAACAGTAGTACAAATGAACCTATTGACAACGCAGAAATAGAGGGACAGATGTAGAAAACACTGGTCACCAGGGGGTAAGGGGGGAGGGATAAATCGGGAGGTTGGGACTGACATGTGCACACTACAGTATATAATACAGGTAACTAGTAAGGACCGTTGTACAGCACAAGGAACTCTACTCAATACTCTGCGACGACCTACGTGGAAAGAAAATCAGTCACGTCCGACTCTCTGCGACACCGTGGACTATACAGTCCATGGAATTCTCCAGGCCAGAATACTGGAGTGGGTGGCCTTTCCCTTCTCCAGGGGATCTTCCCAACTCAGGGATCGAACTCAGATCTCCCACATTGCAGGCAGATTCTTTACCAGCTGAGCCACAAGGGAAGTCCGCAGTGACCTATATGAGAAAAGAATCTAAAAAAAGAGTGGATATATGTATAACTGATTCACTTTGCTGCACATTTGAAACAAACTGAATGTTGTAGGAATAAATCAACTCTACTCCAATAAATTTTTTTTTAAAGAGAAAATAAGATTGTCTGCAACAACTCCATCCCCCTAATCTAGCTCTTATATCAAATAGATCAGTGATTGCCTGGGAGAGGACTGGGGGCAGGGGTAGGGAAGGTTGGGAGGAAATGTAATAGGAAATTGGAAACTGGAAATACCAATAGGAACAGGGTTTCTTTCTGGGCTGAGTAAACCCTCCAAGGGATCTCCCAGGTGGCTCAGTGGTAAAGAATCTGCCGGCCAGTGCAGGAGATGCAAAAGACTCGGGTATGATCCCTGGGTTGGGAAGATTCCCTAGAGATGGTAACCCACTTCAGTATTCTTGCCTGGAGAATCCCATGGACAGAGGAGCCTGACAGGCTGTATAGTCCATGGGGTTGCAAAGTGTCAGACATGAGTGAGCAACTAAACAAACACACACACAGTGTCCAAAATTGTATCGAGGGTGGC